GTAATATTAAATTTTACGCCCGTTGAAATTAAAAGAGAGATGTTCCCACGTACATGTTGATTGATGTAGAGAAAACGTGTTCTTCCAATTTTATTTCATTTTAAAAGGTCATTCTGGTTTCTGTCATGTGTGATTTGTTTAATGCGACATCTCCCACCATTTTGCCGGGTGCAATTTGCTCGATGCATTCCAAAAAAGATTTCGAGAATTTTTTTATTTCCCTTTCACCCTACCATATTGCAGTTAAATTGTTTTCTCGCTACTACATAAATGTTTTGTAGATTGACATCACATACATACGTACATATATTATTTCCGTTTTTTTTTTGTTGTTGGTCTCTTCAAATAGTTAGAGTGTCAACTAGGCGCAACCTTTTCTTGTTTTTCTACTTTAAAGTACACGATATATACAGCACACCGTGTAATACGCATCGCGCTTTAACGATCAAACGGCAACCGAAACTCGACTTCTCAGATTCTTTCAATTGTACGTGGTCCACCCAAGAAAAAAACGTGATAGACTCATGCTTCTAACAATCATTCATCCCATCCATCCATTCATTCATTCATTCATTCATTCACTCATTGATTCGTCCACGCCAGAATCGACGTAAAACTTTTTGGGCCTGTCAAATAATCCATAATCCATTTTGTTAATGATGAACATCAATAATAATAATAGTGTGATCGATATGCGCTTTTTAATATACTGTAAAAAAAAATAAACATCAATTTATATTGTGTACGTCGTAATATAAAGTTGTTTATGGTGGGACAATTTGCCATGCTCTGTCATTTTCGGAGTCACATTTCAAGCACAATTGAAGAACTGTCAATATATAACATGACAACCAATGAACGGCCTATTGTGACGGGGTATGTAATTCCTGACCAAATCAGTAGTTAAGCATATTCGGTACACACAACATTACATAAAATCAATATACTGCATATATATATATATATACAGTACAGAGTATATACTGTGTATATGTGTATAATAAATAACCATTATTATATGAATGCATATATGCAATATGCGTATTATCATTAAATCACAAATGTAATTGCGCTAACCAAATAAATTACCATTATCCCTCTCGACCGAACTTATGCGGTAATGCGACACAATGAAGTACGCACGAATATGTATGTGTGTATGCGTGCATTTAATTAGCTTATATCCGGAAAAACAAGGGACAAGGTGTTAGCACCTTGTAGGTAAAACGTTTGACCTCGAATTTGGCATGACCCTGGTGCGTTGACACGAGAGGTAGAAGGCACATTCGATGGAGGGGAGGGAGTTTTGGTTGAACACATCAAACAACCTTCGAGTGCTCCTCCCCGTTCTTTTTTTTTTTTTTTTTTTGTTTGTCCCCAAGATATAACTTATCACTAGCGTCGTGATTTATTATCGAATCTAGATTAGGGAAAACTCATAAAAGAAATCCGTCATTCAACCAATTATCCAAACCTCGTGAAGACAGCGTGGTGCGCCTCATTTTCTTGGTTGAAAAAATACGGGTACATGATACCTTAATTTTTCCATATCCCAGACCAAATTAGCACTAGTGATTCCGTCATTGTCGTTTAAAGTCCAACTCACCGAACCGGATTCCGTGAAATAATCATCTTGGCAAACCGTGCCTCAACATATTACATAACACGTAAGTTTGGCCCCAACCTTATTCACCAGATATTTGATGATGAGTAGCAAGCAGTTCAACGCGTCCCCCCTTTTCCAAGAATAATTTGATGGCACACAAAGGTACGAATTCTCCATAGATTTTCGATACCGAACAATAGGTAAATTGATGCAATTCTTCTACCTCAACCAACTAACTCAACCGATCTGGTATTAGTTAGTT